GTGGAAAGGGGGGGGGGGGGGGGTGACGGTGACCCTACTATAACGCACACCACGTGCTGCCTAATCCCTTTGAACAACATAACCAAAAAACTCCGTGTAATGTCATTAGCCCCATTTCCGGCCACCCAGTCCGAGAAAAGTGAGGGGGGGGGGGGGGGGGGAGGTGCGTGTCTGTATGTTTGTGTGTATGTCATAGCCCTTTCCAGGCCCCAGTGAGGTGGACGTCAACCTCCTCATGTCAGACAAGGATGCCTAGAAAGAGCATGTACCCAAGCCTGCAGACATAACATAACACATGGTAGGTGTAGTGCTCATGAGCAAAAAGGCGTTGCACGGTGATTCCTGTTTACCTCTTTGAGCTCTTTGGCTACATCCTTGAGGTCTCCCAGGATGGTTTCCAAATTCTCCACGATTGTCTTGATCTCCTTTTTCACTTGTACTTTGGAGACTACTCCTTCAGCGTCCGCATTTGGTGTCCCTGACATTCTTCAGCTTGTGGCACAGTCTATTTCGTGAAGGATCTAAATTCTAATCCTTTGGTCGCCACGCTGCCACTTTGCCAACGCATTATTATTTAGTCCTCCGCTCCCTTTCACTTTTTTTCCTTTTTTCTCCCGTGCTCCTACATCACGGCCAGGACAGAGCGAAGTGGCGTCGGGCAGCGTTTTCTATCTACCACTAGGCATGCGCAATAGAGCGTAACACAAAAAATAACGCTTATGTCAAAATATCGTATCATAGTGTCTGCGAGAAACAACGTCCACAGGTTAGTGCACCTTCATGTCCAACAACAAAACAACGACGTGCCACCAGTATCCTTCACGTCGAGAGAGCGCTGAATTCAACATTTTTTATTTTATTTTTTACGCACTGTCCTACTCACAAAAAAAAACAAAAAAATAAAATAATAAATGTTGAATTCAGCTCTCGTCCGAACGCTGAAGGATATTCTTGGTGGCCACGTCGTTGTTTTGTTGTTTGGACATTGAAGTGGGATAAACTCTGTGGGACGT